CTGCTCCCCCCTTTATTCTAGTTTAATTTGGAAAACCAGAAAATTTTGTCACAGAGAAAATGACAGTGGTATGATATTTCTTTTAGTCTCCTTAAAAATAGATGAAAGCAAAGACATCACATTTAACATCAAGGGAGAAGGTGAAAAGTGCTATTGGCATAATGAGGTTATTTGTAGGTTTCCTTAACTCCTTAACTAGATAAAATCTAACGACTATTAGTCATAAAAGCACACATCTTGAATTTTCTCAGGGAAAAAAAAAAAAAAGTCCAGTCCACCCATGAATGTAATGAAGGTAAACCTCCTGTAAAAGAGGTGGCCTTATCCTGGTGTCAGGCTGTTCCAGTGTCTGAACTTCAGTGGACTGGCTGGACTACTCCCTAGAGTCACATGAGCTCAGCAGCAGTCTGACACCAAATGGCTTGGACATATACAGACTCTTCGAAAAGCAAGCAAACAAAGAACCTTTTGAAAGTGATAGCTAAACACATGCACTAGGTTAGCTGCAGACAATCAGTTGGGCGATGCTTGGCATCATCTTTCTGGAACAGAAGGGAGAAGAGTTAATTTAGTTAAGGTATGACACACTGATGATACAGGCTGAGACTTCTGGTCTTGAATTGTGCAAGTGGGTTTCCCAGTTGGCATGTTCATAGACATAAGCAAGCACAGAAGGGGAAAACTAGATGTTTTCATTCAAACAACTGTTTGGTATCTATTTCCTCCTGAATTTAGTAAGTTTCACTTCTAATTTGGGAAACTGTCTTGCTGAAATATGTTCTGTCAAACTACCTCAACTTTTGTACCAGTTTAGCTGTGGGAAGTGGGATATTATGTTTACAAGTGGGAACAGAACAAGTATTCATCCCTGTCCTGTGGGACTGAAGTGTACTTCAAGGACAGTTTCATGATTATAACTTCTTTTGGTTTCAGTCGTAGTTGATCCAGCACTGCCTTTCAAGAATTTCATGCTGATTTCTAAGGTGGCTACAAGTACTTAAGAGAGGGTGGAATTTAATCAGGGTATTAATTGTATCAGCACTCCATGTTCTTATTCTTCAGAATTTCACAGAATATGCAACTTCCAGAGAGTATTCCAGTATTCCTTTTTTTTTTCTTAGTGGTTTTACTGTCATTTTAACATTTTGGCATCTAGTTTATAAAACAAGGAACTATTTCCACAGTGTGAAAATGATGTCACAACTAGTTTATAACATACTTATTGTATGAGTATTTAAAATACATTTAAATAAATGTAAACTGAGTAAGGAAAATAAATTAAATTTTTGGAGATACTCAAAACCTTCACTTGAGATATTACTTCACGGAGAAATACAACATTCTTTTTTTAGCTGATTTGTTGGAGGTAAGCGTCTGTCACAGTTGCATCAAAATTTCATATGTAGTCATTCAGTTAAAGTTGTGAGAAAAAAGATGAGCACGTAGCCATTCCTTAGGCAGTGCTTGGTGAGACTTGAGCAAAAGGCTAATATTAGTTATCAGAGTAATATAGCATGGCTTTGATACACAAGTCCATTCCTTCCCTCAGGGCACTAAATGGCTAAATTTGTAAGAAGAAAAAAATAAATGTAGGGCATCTTACAGGGATTGTAAATAAATTCTGTCATATTGTGTTCATGTGGAGGATAAGTGCAATTGTGTGTATCAATGTCATGTGAAATGTCAATAGAAAAAAGCTACAAGCACAAATATTTTGTGGCTAATATTTTTTTCCTGTGGTATGAGAGATAGCGTTTGTAAAATTTCAAATTTCTTTGCTGCAATCAGTTTTCCAGTGTATTCAGCATTTTATACCATGGCTTGTTTTTATGCTTTATACCATGAATTTATAGGAAGAAAAGTTTCAAGATGATTCGATCCCAGTCTTTGTCATTACAAATTCCATCTCAGGAATGGAAAGCGCCATCGGCCAATCCTGTTCCGTCTCCTGCAACACCAGTTGTTCCAAGTGCTTTTCTGCCAGTTCAAGTGCCATACAATGTACCAGAATTTCAGAGAGTTTCAATTAGTGGGGACTACTGTGCAGGGGTAAGAAACCTTTTTTATGTTGGGGGGAGGAGGGTGAATGCCAAACCATGGGCAGCTAATGTATGTAAAGTGTGACATGACAGTGTGTGGCTCCCTGCCACAAACTGTAAATTGCCTTGTGAACATACCAATTTGTGAAACAGTTAAAGTCAAGGTCAGGTCGTTTTATACTTTTTATATATTGGATTTAGTTTTTTATGATAAAAGCATAATCAGGCATTCAGTAAATGGGTAATATACTCTAGGAGGAAAAAAAAGTGTATTTTGCACATTGTATTTGGATTCTGTTTCTGTCACTGGCTTCCTGAGACTTTGGGCAAGGTCCATACTGTCAAGCCAGATACACTAACCTTTCTGGAAATGCAGTCTCCTTGTTACTGGCGTGGATTCAGTTTGTTGCTAAAACTGCTGTTTTGTTTTTGTCAGTATTTATTCAGGCTTTCCTTTCAGGTTACAGTTGAGGATTATGAACAAGCTGCCAAGAGCCTCGTGAAAGCTCTTCTCATTCGAGAAAAGTATTCTCGTCTTGCCTACCATCGCTTCCCAAGAACAACATCTCAGTATTTGTGTAGCATGCAAGATGAAAAATGGAGGGTTGAAGATGAAGTGTATCCAGGTGAATATCCTTGTTCTCTTTAAAAATGTAGAATAAAACCCATGCACTGCTGTCATAAAGGTAAGTTGGATTTTTGTGATGATCTCTTCTGAGTGTCTTTGCCTCTGTAGTTTATTTTGTTAGTAGTGGTGGAGAATTACTGATGGACCTGAGTTATAAATCCTGTGTCTAATCTGAAACTTTGAAGCTGTCAAAAGATAAAACCCCACACAGTAGATGCTTATTGATATTTTTGTTTTGTTTGTTATTTTTGTAAGGAGTACACTTGTGTAGCTCCAGGAAGAAGCTATATGGGTATGGTTTGAAGTGAAGAGTCATTTATCCTGATCTTGGCATACTGAAATTAAAGGGATTATGAGCTCATCTTCATTGTAAACTGAAGCACGGTACAGACATGCCAGTTAGCAAGCCCAGAGTCAGTAATTTTACAGTCATGGTACACTTACCAGGTCAAGGCTGAAAGCTGTATAGTTGTATTTGTTGGGCATTCTGCCCAGTTTAATAAACTCTCATCACTCAACAAGACTTATTAGGTTGACTATATTCCCCACTATAAATGTCATAAGTGATATTTGTCTCTTAGGTGGGTTGTGTGTTGAAAGCTTTGCTTGTGCATTAAACTGTTGTCACTGCTAGTTTTGGATTTGTGTGTGAGGAGTAACCTTTGGTCTGAACAGATGTGCCACTGTAGATGTGTCCATATTGTTTTTTAATGTATTCTAAGCTATAAAGGGACATATTAAATCAAGTACCCTCTAGCTCAGTGGTTTAAAGAGGGTGAATGAATTAACATGTTTCTCAAGCCTTTATTATGCAGAAAGAATGTAAAGAATATTCAAAACAGGAAAGATATTTTGGAACAGCTGGCAGGGAGATATTTTCAAGCTATAATTAAGTTAATAACTTATTTGCGGTTATCATTTTTAAACTTCCTATCTCATTACACAGTATCTTAATTGGCACAAGTTTGAGCTGGATAGTTACAAACTGATACCATTCTTATCTCTAATATTTATACCATACATTCAGGTGCTTTAGGTGAATAAAAGGACCAGTTAATTATTTTTTTGTCTTGGCTTAGCTGAATAGGTAAAAGAAGTAGCCTGACAAGTCTGAGCCCAACAATGCAGTTAAGTCGACATAAATGTGGTTGAGGCACATACTTTGTGCTGGTTGCAGTGGTAAGATATTGTAGAAGCAGCATTGAAAATTCCTGAACATGAGCAATAGTGTTTAAGTGTTCACATAAGCTGAATCTCCCAGAAGTGTGTGCATTTACCTGATTCTCAGAAGAAAAACCCCAAATTGTTATTTTGTGAAGGGATTATAAAACTGCACTGAACAAATCCCAACTGTGCTTCTGGTACTTTATGATTTTGGTCACGATCAGAAGGCCAATGGGAAAACTGTAGTTGTGTTTTTCTATCCCTGGATTCTACACTTCTTGGTTCTACTAAAAAAAAAAAAAAGGGAGTTTTATTTAAAAAAAGCAAACAAAGACAGACCCTAAACACAACCAACCAACCCTCCCCCCCCCCCCCAAAAAAAAAACAAACCACCAACCAACCAATAAAAACACAGGAAAACAAACCCAAATAAACCCTACAAACCAACCAGTGCCTTGGTCAGTGTGAGAAGCACCGAGTCAGAAGTTATTTCCTGCTCATTGGATTGTGGAAAGGAGAGATTTCAGTCTTTCTGAAAACTTACTTTGAAACTTGTGCTGTCATACATTAATAAAAAATAGTATTAAATATATTTAGACATTGATTCAGAGAACTCTATAATATTTGAAATAAGGTAGGCGCTTAGCTTAGAGACTGCAATTAAAGCTTGTAAGAGTAAAGCTGTGTTGTGACAACAGGTCTTTTATAGTAACTGAAAATGTGAATTTAATAGGAAAATTAAGATCTTCTTGAAATGAAACATTATAGAAGCGAAAAGTCCTTTTTGTAATTACTTTGCTTTTTATGCAAGCTATTTTCTCTAAATGCAATGTAAATTTATTTCCAGATTTCCATTCACCCCCAGAAGAAAATGAAGATCCTTACAATCTTGATGATGCTCCAGACAATTTGGATTATGTTATCAAGATAAAAGGTGGCATTCCCTTTGTTTACGATAACAAAGAAATGATGGAACTCAATGAGCCTCGGAGTCTGCCATATCCTGACCTTGAGACATATACCCTTGACCTGAGCCACGTTCTTGCTCTAATTGCAGATGGTCCAACGTATGTTTCTTTCTTCTCTGTCCCTTCAGGCTGCTGGTTACCTTTTAATACTTCTCACTTTTGCAATATCTAATTCCTCAGTATACTCATTATAAAGTACTGTTTTGTTTTAAGCATTACTTAAAAGTAAAAAAAAAAAAAGCCAAGTACAGATATATTTAATTTTTTTAGTTTATCTACATCGACCGTGGCAAAATGAGAAGCAGTTAACAGAGAAGCAAGAAATTGGCCAAATGTTCCCACTGGAGTCAGATCTCATCCAAGCTTCTTGAGGCATGGAAACTGAAACTTGAACCTTGCCTCTTGTTTTGGCCTGTACTGAATTTGAGGGTTTTGAACAGTTGTCTGGAATTTCTTCATGTCTGTTCTACTCCTGCTGCATGAAGAGAAACCCTGCATTTGTAGAGCATACAGAACAGCTCAGAAACATAAATATTCAGTGTGATTTGTTCCAGATGTGAATTAACTGCTCATGTGTTGCAAAACTGATCCACACACGCACAATCAAAATAGGTCTGAAATTTCCCAGAACTGTCGAACTCCTGGGAAATCTCTAAAAACTAGAAACTTAACAACTCTAGAATAATCACTGACACACTCGTGACAAAGCAGTGTCCTTGTCCAGTACATAATGAGAACATGTACATCCAGGTTTTTCAGTTTACTTCCCAGCTGAGGACTGGAACCATCAGGGTTTCTCATGGCCTCAACACTGGGAAAGGAAAAGAATCCACCCTTAGGTGGAACTAAGCAGGAATCTGACTGTTGTTTGAACTATTTGCCCTGCCTGCCAGCACTACATTTCTAGTCCTGCCAGTGGAAGATCATCACTTACAATGTCACAAGTTAGTCGCACCTGGTGCATTCTTTCCCTTTGACTCTGTGTCTGACACCTGCAGTGTGATCTGTCTGCCTTGCATATTGATAGTGACAAAGCAGATGGGCTGAACAGAACTGCCTCATTCCCTAAGGGCTTTTTCAAGAGCAAAAGCCTATGTTTCTGTCAGCATTATCAGCACTGCTGCTCCAAATCAAAGCTAGTTTGATTATGCTTTGTTTACAGTATGCAGTGGGGAAATGCATTTCCAGTTTCAGCATGTTACATTCCAAGAGACAGCTACTGAGAAGATAAAGAACAAGGAGGAAGAAGTTGAAACACAAGTCATAGTGAAGACCCTTCTTTTTGCAGCTTTTGTTAACAGTGTTTATCAGGGAGCCGTAAGAAGGGCCTTGGAGGATGTTAGAACACCTAGCACCTTTGTGAATGCAGGAGCAGTTATCTACTCCTTTCACTTCTTCAGATTAAGCTCTTGCAGGGTGATTCACATTTCCTGATAAATACACACAAACCAAAAGCAAAGAGTCCAGTCATCCTGGAAGTAAAGAGCATAAGCTTTTTATGTGGTATTGTTTTCCTGTTTGTAGCAGGTGCTTTCCTGCCATTGATGTCTGTCACACTTGGGGCTGCTTGGAGATCAAGAACCCATTACTCTTTAAACTTTACTGTTCTTTAACTGGTGAAAGTCTCACCTGTTCTCCTCCGTTTTTCAGTGTCTTGAATAATAGAAAACCCAACAAAGACTTCCTGCAGTGGGCAAATGTGTTTTGATCAATATCAGATACAATGAGACTGTGTTTGAATTGGACTTTCAAGTGCATGATGGGATTTGTGTCCCACTCAGGAGAGACTGTCAACAATAAAGCAGAAAAAAGAAGGCTGTTACCTTACTAGTGCTACAAAAATATTGTAGAGTCTCTAAGAATTGACAAATGGTGAAGGGAAAAAACATGTCATTGGTTAAAAATAGAAGGAGAACCATAATGGAAGATGAAAGCGAAGACAAAGTAGGCAAGCAGGAACAAAAATGCATGATTTTTTCAAAGAAGAGCAAAAGAAAATATTTTAGAAAAAAGGTATTTCTACACAATATATGTGTTTTAAGGCATAAAAAATGTAAGTGTACTGAATCATAGCTTAGCTTCTTAAAAAGCTTTTCACATTGAAACAGCAAATAACCTGGGGAGTTGTTTGGATTTTTGTTGTTGTTGTGTTTTTTTTTGATACCCATAGTGATCTGTAGTCTGGATTGCTGGTGGTTTGTTATATATGAGGTGATCTGCTCCATTGAAGGTATAGTTTCAGAGTTGTAGCAGTTGACATCACATTTGATTACAGGCTTTATGCTTTCTCTCTCATTATTGAAAAAACCGCATTATATGCACAGATGCAGTGATAAATAGTTGGAGTACTTAAAGGACATAACAGTTCTGTAGAGTTCTGTTTGAGAGTTGGTCTGAAATCATATTGGCTATTGATTGCTAACCAGTAGTATAAGAAGAATGGATTTCTTTTGGTCTTCATAAAATAAATAAAAAAAGTTATTGTGAAAACTTTCAAGTTCTTTCTGAACTTAAAATAGAAATAGTTTTAAGTTGACTTTTGTGTTTTCTTTTACAGAAAAACATATTGTCATCGGAGGCTTAACTTTTTAGAATCTAAGTTTAGTTTACATGAGATGTTGAATGAAATGTCGGAATTTAAAGAATTAAAGAGTAATCCCCATCGAGACTTTTATAATGTGAGAAAGGTAAGTGGGAAAAGGGTTAAAGGCATGACTCTTTGAGTAGGAGTTCCAGCAATTTTGTTTTTCTTGCATGAGGTGTAGTTGATATACATGAAGTGACGTGTGTATAGCACTCAACTGAACATTATTTTAAGAGTATTAAAATTGCTCTACATGGGAACATACCAGGAAAATGAACTTGAATGCAAGTGGGTTAATTGGATTAGGCCAAATTAATGTGTTTTACTTATCCAGAATCAAAGGAGCTTAATTGTATGTAGATTGCTTCAAAGGAGGGAAACAGAGTTAATCAAATGAAGCTCACTTCGACTATGAATAGAAATATCCACATGGAGGTTCAATTTATTTTAACTAATTCATTTGAAGTCAGTCAAATGCATTTTCCTGCTTTTATGTAGGTAAGTCATACTAGACTGTAGTGGGAGCAGCTGTATAGGTTTTGGATGAAAATTTAACTTCATATTGAAAGTAAACATTTAAATACGTGTAAAAATTAAAAAAGACCTCCCATAGAAACTGGACAGAGGGTTTGTGCTTTCCTCAGTGTCTGGTAAAAAACTTGTATGGAATCTGAAATAAGTTATTTGAGTTACATTCTTAGCTGTCTCTGAGATACACTGGGGGTGTAATCAGGAGACAGCTAGGGGAATGAGGGAGCTGATTTAATTTCCTGATGTATTCATACCCAGGGGAGCTGCTTTCTCTTCAAAGCATGGAAGCACCAGTGTTAGCCTGCTTCTGTTTGCTTCCCTTTCTTGAACTTAAGAGGAAGTTAGTGGAGAGAGAATGCTTTTTTGGTAGGTGAGATTTCTTCACAAAGCAGTAATTGTTGCTGGTGTTTTTAACCACTTCAGACCCATTTTGCATTGTTTCTATATGCAACTGGAAGACTTTGTCCTTATGTTGTAACTTCAGGGTTTAGATCAATACTTCAATCTGTTTATGTTTTAATTAGTGTAATTTAATTAATTACACCAAGAAGTCATTTTTGCTTTTTCCAGTAGTGTCCAGTGTGTTGTCTGCTGAATGTTTGCCACTGTTGTGATAAAAACAATCAAATATAAAATCTGCTAAACACAAGTGTTTGATGGATGCACTCCTGTCTGTCACAAGGCTAGAAGCAGATGGGTTGGTAGGTCAATTTCTAATGAATTTCACACTTTTAAGTGTATGAACAGGAGGATCTATAAGCTAATTCACTTAAAGCAGGACTCAAGTGGCAGAGGCTTGACTCCTAACTTGACAGTTTTCTTGCATAACCCTGGAGAAGATACTTACTCCATACCACGTTCAGAGAAAACATTTCACTAGGTGACAGACATTAATAATAAAACACATGGTGATGGGGAGGTGTGAAGGACAGAGTTGTGAATCAGGTAACTGCCTTAGACAGTCAATCTGATTAGTGAGAAGCTGTAATTAACAGGATTGTACTTGCTAAATTCAGCCTTTGATTTAAAAGCAAATGTTCAGTGTCACTGAGCATATCTTAATTATTTTCTAATTACTTGGTATTAAATAAAGCAATCTACAAATGGATTAATGTTGTTCAAAACCACAAACTTTCCATCACTTCCACTCTATCAATACTCAAATTCAGGAGTGCAGGAACAAGCTTGCTTTTCTCTGCCACAGGTCATTCCTACTGCCAGTTACTGCTTGCTGCAGAGTTAGTCTTGCTTAAAATAGTATTCTTCTGAAGTGAGCTTACAAGCAGTATTTTTATGAAGCACTCTGAAAAGTAAACTGCATTGTAGAGTTCCTGCAAGTCCCCATATAATCTTGTTTTCCCTGTCTTGCTAACTCATTTAATGATTGTGTCTGTAACTTCCCAAAGTGCTTCCTTCCTAATAACAGTTTTAGCAGTGAAACTTGTAATACAAAATACACTTCTAGGGCCTACATTTTAAGGTTGTCTTTCTGTTAGTCAATCATTAAACAATGTGTACTGCTCATAAGGAAAGCAAGAGGTAAGATTCACCTCCCAACAGAGTTATTAGTGAAGTTGTCTATTACATCCCTCAGACACTAGTGTGGAAAACCTGGTAAAATCCATTTGGTTACATAAAAGAGCCAATGTAACTGATGGAAAATGCCCAAATTAAAACAATTATGAATGTAGTGTCAAGGTCAATCAGCAAGCATGCATTGCTGTAGTTAGAAAGGTACAGGAAGCTGGCCAGCATTATTTGCTGGCGTGACAAGGGTTATTGTGGTGTGGGTTGGTTTTTTTTTTCCTTCTCCCCTAGTTTTCCAGGTTTTATGGGAGTTCTGTGAGCTCATCTATTTAATAAATCCCAAGATAAGGCTTCTGCTAAGTAAGGGAAATGCACATGTGTATCTTTCATAGTGGACTTAACCAGAATGCAACCAAAGATACGTTTTGCACTGATCAAGCTGGAACTGGAAAATTGCCTTTTAATAGCCTGACAGATACATCTATAGACAAAAATCCACAGGTGGTAAAGACTGGCTGGCTCCACTTGGCTGCCCACAGGAGGTAGACAACTGTCTGAGTTGGAGAATGCTAAGTCTAGAGAAGACTCTTGAGTTTGCCATCAGCAGGGCTCTCCCAGGTTCTCTGGCTGATGAACTGAAAAATGCAGTAAAAATAGGTTCTCCGCATAACTCCTAGGTTGCCTGCATTAAGGATGAAATTAAGCAACAAGAGTGCAGCTCTGTGGTGCACAAACTTAGAACTGAGTTTTAGTTTGTCTATTAGGGTGTCTTGCCTTCCAAAGCAAATGTGTGAGGCTTTTTGAATGAGGCTTCCAGTAGACCACTGTGCTCAACAGCCTCTAATAATTCAGAGCTGATTGATAATTCAGTTTCTAAACTGAAATACACCGTCAAAGTAAAGGACCAAGAGCTGTTCTTGTTATTAGGAACTTTGGTTTGTCTCAGTTGTTATTTCTAGGGGGAGGTTGTTGCTTTTTTTTGTTTTTTTAAAAAAGGTGAAGCCAAACTACTTGTTTACCTAACATGTACTTGCTGCCTTTATAACAGATATCTATGTATTGTGTTTGATACAGTTTTGGAAAGATGAAAGTTACAGCCTAAGCCTCCTTCCATATTCTTCCTCTCTTTAGCCATTATTTCAGTCTGTCAGTAAACCAAACCTGATTGTATATCATAGCAGTGACTTTTACATGTCATATTCTTCTGCCTACAGCTTCACTAGCTCAGATGCCTGGCCTTGTGTGGCTCAGGCCGGGGGAGCCATCAATGGAAGAATGCAGTTTCTAGAGTGGCTTACACAGCCCTTCTGAATTGTGTGTTGCAGTAGCTGATGGCTGCTGTGACATACCATTTGGTCTAGATCATCACAACTGATTATTTTTTTTCTTTTAAGGTATGGTTAGACAAAAAGGAAATAAATTCTAGCTTTTGTTTGTGACCACAGGGTTGAAATACCACTTGTTATTTCTGAGAAAGGATGCTTGAGTGGGTTTATGGACAAAATATTGAATGAGATTAATAGATGTCTGTTTTTTAAACATATGATTCAAAGCCTTATGAGTGAACAGTGAATTTATACTTCAGTTCCCTGAACTTTGATTCTGAGGTTGAATCTTTTTTTCCCTCCAGTAGCTACTTAGTGACAGTGAGTGTGAAGACTTATGGGACAGCA